AACTATATCTAAAATTATTGTGGAAATACAGGCAGTTTTTCTAACTTTCTTAAGTCATAGTTCTGCATACAGAAACACTGGAATAATAGTATTTTTCTTCAAATACATCTATTTTAAGATTTTCTAAGTTCCAATAAATTATAGATAAACACCAGTGAGCTACTTATTTTCACAATACAATATATACTAGCAGAAAACAATATATAAGTTTGCAAAAGTTTATTATATAGAAAACAAGAAATAAATAACAGTTTAAATCTTTGCCTCAGGACTTAAAATTATTGGTAGAGTAAAATATATATGTTGTATTTATTTATGTATGCTACAAAGAAAAATAGAATAACAGCCCAAGAAACATTCCTTTAAACAATAAAAATAAATCCACTCGGAATCTTCTTAAGACCAAAAGCATGATGTCCTTTCCAAAATGGGAGGGTGTTTCTGGGAACTTGGATTTTATAGACTTATTTAGCCAATATTACAAAATGTTTCTTTGTTCATAAATCTGATACCATTTATACCATCTTTTCCTAGATAATCTTTCCAAAAATAAGGAAAAAAAGATAAACAATTACAGGGAAGCACTCTGGACAAATAAGGTGATCTTCAGGTGAATCGAGTCAATTAGAGCACTGGCATTAAGCTGTGGGCTGCTGGGTTACCTCAGAAGCATGCTAATCTGCAGGTAGACTTGGCTTTCACCCAGTAGGAACGTACACAGTAGCAAGCGTGTGACTTGTGCAGGTGCGTGATCTGCAGCCGTATCCCTTGTTTCTGTAATGGTATACCTAGGAGAGCATTTCTGGTCTGAAAACCATGGATTTCATGTGGCAGGGGGAAAACCTAGCGAGGGACACAACTCCACAGGCAGATAAAGGCAACAGAGCATCATCCAGCTGGTAGACAGAGCACTTCCCGTCCACGTTTTTCTTTCCAGCTCTGATTGTTGGTGCCACTAATGTCACCATTGTAAAGAATTGGGAAACATGAGGGGCTGTACATATAAAATGGGTCTGGAAGAATGAGCTAAGGAGAAAAATAGATGTTCAAATAACAAAATTTATTTTTCACTCACAGAATTGCCATTCATACTTAGCTATATCAATATGAAGAACAAATAATGATCATTTCATGTAAGAATGGGGGAACAGGATACTGATGGGGTAAGATTACATGTGTGTACATACGCACTGTCTTTCCTTGTCTTCTAAAGGTCATCTAAGCCTGAACATTAAAATTGAATTTTGTGGGACTGAGGAGTTAGCTCAGTGGTCTAAGTACCTGCCTGGCAAACAGAAGGTCCTGGGTTCAATCCCTAATACTGCATGCTGTGCTGGCCCCAGAACACTAGGTGACCCTGCCAGCCACTGAAACTGGGTATGGTGGTACACACCTATAATTCCAGCACTGGGGAGGTTGAGGCAAGACTACTAAGAGTCCAAGCTGTGTAGTGAGACTAAATAAATAAATAAATAGATAGATACATGAATAAAAATTGAATTTTGTGGGAAAATATTGAACTTATTCCTAGAAGCTTTTTTTTTTTTTTTTTTTTTTTTTGGAACCAGGAATTGAACTCAGGCCCTTGGGCTTGCCAGGGAAGCACTTATTCCACTGAGCCAACTCCCCGGCCCTGAACTTATTCCTGTATCTGTGTGTAAGTTTCAAATGAAAAAGTATTTAATAACTAGCTCTTTAGAGGCTGGGAAAATTTTTTATGCAGAGAATTCTAGAATATGTAGGAAAACAGTTTGTCTATGTATTCATACTCTTAGAGTCCACCAGAAGCAATGAAGAGATAGATTAGAAAATAAGATATTAGAACAGTTCAAACAAATGCTAAATTAACTATAGGGTGCAAATTTTCTAGGAGTTCTTAGTAATGCTCTTAAAAGCTCAGTGGATATACATTTGATGAAAGCTTTATGCTAGTAAGACAGTCTTTTGTTTGTGGTTATCACACCTTTTATTTCAAAGTTTCTTTTTGTTGTTTATCCCTTAGGACTTCAATCTAAAAGGCCAACTCCCGCTTGGTGTTTAAAATCCTCATTGGCATGGATGAGATGCTTAGAAGATCACAGGAGCATTTCCTTCCCTGCTGGTCAGGTCCAGCACTTACAGTGCAGGAATCGTCAGCCTGCTTGGATGGGAATTTCAGCTCCACAGCTTTATATCTGGGAGATGTGGGGTAAATCTCTTCAAATATTTGTCTTCTCTTGCAAAAATGTAGGAACATATTCTACTCATAGAAGATAGAGCTGAGATTAAATGTGAGAATGTAAGTCACAAGTTAACTGCCTAACCTGTCTCATAATAAAAACTACACAAGTATGAGCCATAATTAATGCTACTACTACTGCTATTATTATTATTATTATTAAAATATAATGGTTGTTGGACATCTAGTAAGATGTGAGTACTGAACTAGTATGTTTTGAGCATCTTGGTTGTAACTGAAACACCATGTGACAACCTATAGCCTGTTACTAACACTAGAGCACTATGGTCATTATCCATTTATCTTCTCTTCTAGAAGCTGATTTTCTTTCTGTCTTGTGATGAATCCAGTTTTCAGAATTTGCTTACCATATGATATTTCTTGTAATAATTTTATGAAAGCTTTTAATGGTACAGTGAAGAAATCATTTTTTAAAATTCTATTTGCATCATCTTGTCTAAACCTCATTTTCAATCTATGCTTCAGGTAGCACTCAGTATCACTGGTACCTTTCTTCGGGGTAGGCCAGATCAGTCTAGTTGACAATCCAGCATAGCAGTATGCATTCTACTGATTGTCACCTTTAAAACCACATATATTTCCTTATGCCATATTTACTCTCCAGGTAAACACAGATCATAATTTTGCCTAAAACGACCCACCAATCTACATATAATCAAAACACAATAATCCTTTCCCCAGTATGTCAACATGAAAGTCTCTTCTAAGACTCCTGGCAAGAGCAAAAGATTTACATCTGTGAACTTCCACAAAATTTAAAAAAGCAAATTAATTAATTTCAACATACAGTGACACACAGTGAACATTCCCATTCCAAGGAAGAAGTACAGGAGGATACAAAGAAAGACCAAAACAATTAGTCAATAACCAAGGCAGATCTAAAGTCCTATAGTTCAATGCTCAGAAAGCTGGGCGCATGGTGGGAAGATGTAAGCCTCAGAGGTTTCGCATGGCCCCTCCCCCAGTGGACCTGCTGGTCACCTCCCCCAGCCCCCCCCCCATGTCCTCTCTTTTGGGCTGGTTCTGCCTGGGGCCTACCTAAGTCACACATTCCCATGTTCCTGGCTTCTGTAACTTCCCGAGGTCTCCATTACAACTTTAACTTATTCTTCCTATTTTGCCTGGCTTCTCAGGCCTTCCTTTAAACTTTAGTCTCATTGACTCTACAGCTTCTGCACTCGGTATGCCTGTAAGTCAGAGTCAAGCCACGATCTGGTATCAGTGGACTGTGGCTGCAGTCATCTCTGCAAACCTGGACGGCTGAACATAGTGTAGAGAATCTGGTGTAATAATTCCTTACATAGCCCTGCTATAGGCAGGGAGCCAAAATGCTTTCATTTGCAGTGACAATAATATTTTCAGAAACTATATTTCTTTTGGCTCTAACTTCATACATGTTTCATTTCAAATCAAAATTGAAGATTTACAAATCCTTCTCTGCTTTCTGCACTTGGTTCTTACTATAAATCTGGCTGTCCGTGGTAGCTGAGCCACAACATGGACATTAAATTTGCTTAAAATATCCTCTGCCAGAATAATTATTCTGCCACACTTTAACTCAGCTTCTTCCTGTGCCTCAAGACACAAGCAAGATACAGACAAGAATTTTGGCAAGGTGTAACACTTAGTCTCTTTAGTCCACTTGCCCATGGAGGTTATTCCTTTTTATTTTTTTAACCTTTTTATTTTATTATTTATTTATTTATTGCTGAACTGGGGATTGAACTCAGGCCCTTGCACTTGCCAGGAAAGCATTTATTCTACTGAGTTAGCGCCCCATCCCGTTTTTCCTAACTGAAACTTCCTGAGCCTAATATTTGCTGTCTGCAGTCCTAAGAACATTCTGATCTTCTAAACTCCAACAAAAATTTCCCAGCAAGCTCTTCTTACAGCATTCTAGGAATTCTATAGCCTACCTTTCCAAAATTTCCCCAACACTGCCTGCAAATTAGATAGAAAGGTTTGACTCACAGCAATAACTTTACTTCTCAACTACAAAATTTTTGTATTAATCAACTATTTTTGCTGCTGGGACACATTACTCAACACTTATAATTCTAAAAATGAGTTTAAAAAATAATAAAAAATAATAAATAAGGAGTTTAATTTGGCTTTTAGTTTCATGGGCTATAGCCCATGGCTGATTAGCTCCAAGGAGAAATATCATGGCAGAATTTCATGGTAGAGAAAAGCTGCTTAATTTGTGGTAGGGAACAGAGGAACAGTCCCAGAGAGGAAGAGGCCAGGATCACAGCTCTGTTACTCAGCAGTACAATCCCCGAAATGTGCTCTTCTAGTACACTGGCTGGCTCAGAAGCTGATGAAGTTGACAATGCTGCTTAACCTTTACATTAAGTAAAAAGAATCACCTATCTTAAATTACAGAGACTATTAATACATTTCTATATAGGAAAAAATTCAGAGCTTAGTGTTTTACATCCTCAATAAAGATAGCTCTGTTAAGTGTTCTCAGAAATTGTTAATCAGAAAATTGCTCTTCAAGGGTAGGTATCAAAGTCATTATAATATCCTATTGAACCATAATATTTAATCATCTAAAGTCATTAAAGAGAGTTGTGTCTGTTCCTAAGAATTAAGTAAGGAAATGCAAATTTTTTAATATTTTAGGCACTATTTTAAAGTGATCGAAAGAATCAGAGGTAGGGGCCGGGGAGATGGCTCAGTGGAATAAGCACTTCCCTGGCAAGCGCAAGGCCCTGAGTTCAATCCCTGGTTCCATCAATAAATTAATAGGCGCGGACCTCCTAGAACCTTTAACGTGGAACCATGGGAGGCTTGGAGAAGAAAAAGTATGAACGGGGTTCTGCCACCAACTACATCACCCGAAATAAAGCCCAGAAGAAGCTGCAGCTGAGCCTGGCAGACTTTAGGCGGCTGTGCATCCTGAAGGGTATTTATCCCCATGAGCCCAAGCATAAGAAGAAAGTGAACAAGGGTTCCATGGCAGCCCGAACCTTTTATCTCATTAAAGACATCAAGTTTCTCCTCCATGAACCCATTGTCAACAAATTCCGGGAATACAAGGTATTTGTTCGGAAGCTCCGCAGGGCCTATGGGAAACGCGAGTGGAACACTGTGGAGCGCCTGAAGGACAATAAGCCCAACTACAAGCTTGACCATATTGTCAAGGAACGGTACCCTACATTCATCGATGCTCTGCGAGACCTGGATGATCCCTGTCCATGTGCTTCCTCTTTTCCACCTTCCCGCGGACAGGCAAGTGCCACGTGCAGACCATCCAGCTGTGCCGCCGGCTCACCGTGGAGTTTCTGCACTACATCATTGCTGCCCGTGCTTTGCGAAAGGTCTTCCTGTCCATCAAAGGCATTTACTATCAGGCTGAGCTGCTGGGGCAGCCCATTGTGTGGATCACACCCTATGCCTTCTCCCATGATCACCCGACAGATGTAGACTACAGGGTCATGGCCACTTTCACTGAGTTCTACACCACCCTGCTGGGCTTTGTTAACTTCCGCCTCTAACAGTTGCTCAACCTCCACTACCCGCCAAAGCTTGAGGGTCAGGCCCAAGCAGAGGTGAAGGCGAAGGAGGATGCCTACGCATTGGATTCTGAGAGCTCCATGGAGAAACTGGCAGCCCTCAGTGCCAGCCTGGCCCGTGTGGTGGTGCCTGCGGCAGAGGAGGAAGCTCAGGCTGACGAGTTTCCTGCTGATGGGGAGATGGCGTTACAGGAAGAGAACCGCAGGAAGGAGCTGGAGGCTCAAGAAAAGCACAAGAAGCTCTTTGAAGGCCTGAAGTTCTTCCTGAACCGTGAGGTACCCCGAGAGGCCCTGGCCTTTGTCATCAGAAGTTTTGGGGGGCACGTGTCCTGGGACAAATCTTTGTGCATTGGAGCCACCTATGATGTCACAGACACTGGCAT